TTGGAGAATGCGGTGCTTCGATGATTTTGGCAATTTATTAGGCACCCGGTAGATGATAGAGAAGGATTCTTCAATGCTGGCTTTGTGGCCGGTTTGCACCAGATGCTCCAATATCGAACTGTTAATAGTTTTAACTACACCTTTTCTTAGCCATAGTGAAAGATGTTCTCGAGCACGAAAAATCAAGTTCCTAGAGCAACGGCCAATATAACTTGCTCCAAAAGTGCAGGTGAATTGATTGATACGATTTGAAGTGGCTAGTCTAGGTACTTTATCTTTCAGTCGAGGTAGCAACATCGGTCGTGCAAAGAATAATACGTGTAGTTCGCCAGCATTAGAAGTTCTTTGAACTGATTTTCTTAATTTCTTCGTAATTATCTCGCTTGGTATATCGCCCATGAATTGTAGTCGTATATATAAAGGCTTCTTGTTTACAGACAGTGAGTATTCCTTTTCCGCTTTCTTTGTCATGTGTTTCTTGATAAATTTGTCATTATAACCATTTTCGATCAAAGTATCATATACAATGCTTAATTCATCTTCAATTACTTCCTCTGAGCATATAGCTCTAGCTCTGTGGCTGAGGGTCTTCACTAAATTTATTTTTTAATTGATAGGAACGAAGCTGTGAAAGTGTATATATTGTTCTGTCCAAGTGCTTTTTCTATGCAAATTTCTTTTCATGCTACCGTCTGGTTTTCTTGTAAGGAGGACATCTAGGAAGGCAATTCTGTTTTAGGATTCCTCTTCAAATGTGAATTTCATAGCCGAATGTACTTCATTGAATTCAATAATTATTGTTCTCCTATCAGAACCATTATCACAAAAAATAAAGGTATCATCCATATATCGGCAATAAAATGAGAGCTTACTGATAAGGTTGTTCAAAGGTCCATTTTCTAGCTTACTTAGAAAGAAATCAGCCAGAATGGGACCCAATGGGGACCCCACCGCCATCCCGTCCACTTGCCTGTAAAGCGTGACGTCAAATTTGAAGTTTATGTACATGGTACATCTTAATATCAATTCTTTTAGGATTTCAATATGGATTCCAGTGTTTATCGACTGCTTGTCCACTTGTTCACATATATAATTAACTGTTTCTGTTAGAGGTACATTTGTGAATAACGATGTTATGTCCAGAGATATCATGGTTTTGTCCTTGATATTAATATCTTTTATTTTGTCTACGAATTCAAATACATCTTTGAATGTAATAACACACTGTGGATAGTTAGGTTTGCAATGGTTTATAGTTCGATTTTTCATTTGAGACTAGAAGTATCCCATTTCTCTCCACACGCACATCTATTTCCAGCTACTTTGAGAAATCTGGCTTCTCCTAATTCAATGCTGACCATATTTCGTTTATGCAATATGAAGCACATTGTCGGTTGCATCACTCTTCACATATTGGATATTCTGAAAACCTGAATTTAAGCGAGTCTAATGAAGTGAGTAGCTTCCTACCAGTATACAGATGGGAACTATTAGTTTTATTTAACAGTAATTCATGAATAGTCCCCATCCTGACTTCAATAATTAAATGCAAAACACATAGTTCAGTGAAGAGTCTGTTTTCGGCAAATTGTCGTAAAGTGATGCATAAATTCCCCATTTGACAGCCATTTCACTCTATTGCGGAATAAACACGGCAGAATTATAAGTTTGGTTTTGATGACATTACAATTCCCTGGACACATAAATGAGTTCGCTATCATGTATGGCTTCGTGAATCGACGGTTATTTTGAGATTTGACAGTTTAAGGTCATTCACTCGACTAAACATCTAAAGACTAGAGTGACTGGGTGATTCAAATTTTCACACAATGTTGGACTTTCTATATCCACTACGATTCAAAACATTTACTGCAGATAGTCATCACATAAAACGTGTAATAAATATAAAGGCAGTTAAAATTAGGGGAATGGAACGATGGCATCATAGACCACTCTTGAAGTAAGTGAAACATGATGTCCAAATAATGCAAACAAATACCTGATCTATCAATAAATGTGTATTCTGAAGACCATTAATCCCGTGGAACTGCGCATGTCAATGATAACGCTTAGTATAGCCGAAATAACTAGCTACACGGAAGCAGGTAAATTGATAGATGCACACTGAAAAGGCTAGCAGGGATAACTTGGGTTTCACTAGCATGCGAACCATTGGTTTTGTAGAGAAAGTTAGCTGAAGTTCAGCTGCAGTGAAGGCTTGCCTCAGTATTTCTGCCTATGAGTCTCCATTGAATTGTAGAGAATTCTTTTAGCAGCAGAAAGTTAGAGTTGTCTTAGGCGCTTAGGCTTCATGAATTTTGTGACGAAGAGATCGAAGTAGCCATTTTCTAGGAGGATTCTTCTCAGGGTGCTCGGCTCTTCTAGCAAGGTGTATGGGCTGCAAGTATTATAGATTCTGTAACACAATGAATCGATCAGATTTCTTTTTTTTCAAGTGTTGGTTTGTGGGGATTTGATTGGTTACAGGATTTCATCATGAGCTGACATCAGTTAGAGAACCATTGGAAAACCTGGGAGTACCGGACAGCTGTTTTGTTTATTTGTGCATATTTTTTTGTGCATAGAGGTATGCAACTGTGGAAGTTAAAAAGCTATCCACTCCATGTGAATTTCTGTAGATGGATCTTTTAAGTGTTCCATCTTGTCCCCGTCTTTTTAGTTGAGTCGCACTCTTTCTCTTGAAGGGTAGCAGCTGTTGAAAAAATCCAAGATTCCTTCCAAACTCTCTTCATTATTAGAGAAAGTGAAGTTATCATTCACGTATCTTTCGTAAAACCCAAAGGTGTTATTCATTTTCCTTAAGTATGTATTTTCAGTTTTGATATGAAAAAATCTTCAAGCCATGGGGCTACTGGTAGTGAACCCTAGGCTAAACCATCCTTTTGTCTGTGTATTTCATTACTGAAAGAGAATGGGACATTTAGGGGGCTCCTTTGAATGACTATTTTCGCATGTGCAGTGCAACGTTTGTAAACAATGATACCAAATCTAGTGAGAGCGTGAAATTAATCACAGGCGTCGAAGTTTTCAATGAAATTGACAAAATCAAAAGAATCTCGGAGTGAAATGTAGGAAACTTGCTTTCTTATTGGTTCCGGTAGGTCTACCAGCCATTGGGTAATGCAATAGTAAGGTGAACTCTACAGAACAAGAATGAAGTCTACAAATATCGAAATAAATTATGTTTAAAGTTTGAAAGATCCTATTTCGATTCTCAATGTTGAAGAATAAAAATTATTGCATTACACTAGTGCTCAATATGGAGATAAATTTGCTAGCATAAATGAAGTTCTAATTAATTCCTTTGTTACAGCAAAACTATGAACATTATTTATTTTTATATTTTGTAATTTTTTGTGGTATAGCATCTCCTTAAACATTTATGGGCTTTTCCAATGAAGAGTATCAGTATAATAGTGGAGAATTTGGCAGGTGTGGATGGAGAGTTCATTCTTCAGTTTTCGCTACTTTCGGTAGAATATGAAATGGTGATTAAGGAATGAAAGGACAGTAGGTGATATAAACGGAGGACTTAGGCACCGGGGTAGAATGTAATTCTTTATTAGATAAGTTTATTTCTAATAACACACGGTGATGCAGTATTTATTAATAACTGGAGAACAAGGAGGAGGGTACACCACCGATCTTCTGAACATAAACCAAAAAGCCTACATCCCAAGGGGACAAACGTTTACAATATGCACCTGGATAGGTATCTCATCAATCAGGGTGATGAGGTGGGCATTACGAAGTCCACTTGAATTAACAGTAGACCACAATAGTTGGTTTCTCCTCAAGTTTGCCGAAGCAAACGCTATCAGACACCCGAAACCTGACTTATGTGTTTAGAAAGCAGCAATTATCAGCTTTTCCTTACCCTGCTCATATTGCATTTTCAGGGTTTATGAAGAATGTCGACGGCAACTGACTTCCTGATGATGAACATTTCTGGTCGTAATAATCGGTAGAAAGTATTTGAAATTAACAAGCAGACTCTCTCTGGTCCATTGGCCATGTAATTTTCAGAAAATCCTTATTAGTACAGAAATACATACAAATACAATCAGCGCATCGATTATCAACAATCAGAAGGCAAAGGGACCAATGACTACTTACCTTCATTATCGCTCTCAGTTATGAAAACCTACCTACTTTAAATGAAATCATCACGTTTTATGGTTCACGTTTAAGTTATGAAAAACAAGATTTCGTTAAGATCCATTTGTCAAGTCCATTGGTTGGTTGACTTTTATTCGGATAACTAACTATCTTTGTCGTTAAGCGTTTTTTTTTCATTGGATGACCTCTGCTCTACTGTTTGTATACATCACAAATATATAACGATTAAAATACCTAAGCATACTTTGTTACTTTGCAGTGAAACATATAAATACAGAAATTTAGAACTATACTCTCAACACAATAATCTCAAGTCACGTAAGCGTTAATATTTTCGCCGGTATTCGTTGTTTTTAATGCCATTAAACATAGACATTTATCACACACACAGTAATGACTACAGTCAGAGTACAACCTTCTGAGCTATTTCACAATGAATTTTAGAAACATGAGACAGTAAACTGTAGACAGTTACAGTTTAACCAGACCCGTCTTTTCAAATGCTGTTGTTCTATTTCGACATGAATGTTAAGATAGTCAGAAAGGTTGTTTAAGTCAACAATGAATGCTGTATCGAGTATCTCCATATTTCATGTATCTGGCTCAACTGTTAATTACACTTTTGCAAATTTCCTGATTCCGTTTATCTCGCATAAAATCAATGAGACCTTAATATTTTACTTTTTAACAGCCAACACGCTTCTGTCAGACACTGACGAAGGAAATTTATTCATCATCAGTTTCGAATAAGAAGTTTAGACGTAAGTTTACTCTAAATAGTTAGTTATTCATTTGAATACTTAACTGGAATGTAATTCGAGATTTCGTTTCTTCTTGTTCTTCTTCTTCTCTCGGAGAAGTGACCATGAAGGGAACATCCAAGGTTCGTGAATGCATTTCTAAACTGACATTTACAGAATGGAATTACGCGTGCGAATTCTACTCTAAACTGTTACCAAACGGTAGGAATATTTTTATAAATTTGAAAAGGTTACACTGAAAAAATCAAGTATACGATCTTAACGAGTATAATGATTCTGATGACGTTCGCGATCACACTGACGTTATATTACATGTAAGTATGCATAATAATTCATTGTCTGTATATCCTTGTAGAGAAAGTCTTAAGAATCAGTTTCAAAAAATTTACATGACAATTATCTTCATGTAAGTTGTCTGGAATGTGATTATGCTGGATATTACCTGAGGTACACCTTCTGCTAAACAAATATGTTGTTATACGAAATTATAAGAGAAGTTATTATTGCTTTGTTTTTTAATGAAGTCTAATTTGTTAATGAAATCCGTATCAAGATTTCAACGTTTATCCGGTAATCCACTCCACTCTCTCATTTCAGGATACTTGGTCTAATCCCTATATTACTGGCACTGTTTGTTAAGAAACTTAGAAAGAACAAGTTACTGATTTATGGCCTCTTTCTATTGACTGTAAGTTTGACATTTTTATCTGATGAAAATTGACCTGTTTCACACAAAACAAAAAAAAATCGGTTTTAATAAGAGTTTCAAGGCAAATATCTTGACACAAATCAATGGAAACGATTTTGACTAGCCTAATCAGTTAAATGCCAAGTAACTATTTAGTCGAAGAATTTCAACGGTGAGAAAGTAATTAGCTTGCATTTCGAATAGTTCCGTGGAGGTGTATCTTAGTAAAGTGTCAGTTACGAAAAAGTCACAAGTATAACTTTGCTCGCTCACACACACTGATTAAAGTTGTTGGGGGCGGAAAAAATGAAGCGCATCACAGTTTTCAAGTCGACTATACATCTGAATATGGGGAACTACTTCAAGACAGCAGTAACAGTGCGCATTATCTCGATGTGTACTAATAATTTTGTGACTAACATTATACTTATTTATGATTAAGTATAGTCCTTGGTCATCTCTTTCTCTTCACAAGTATGCATTCTCTAGTGAACGTGTGATGAATAGCTATTTGGAATGCTGTGGTTGTCGCTTCAAGAGATATCTCCAGAGATAAATTCCTGAAACGATACACTTTCTGGATTTCACAAGAATGAAATAAGTTTTCATTTGTTGGTGTAGGTCCTGACTGATTGTTCACACAGTATTCTGCATTATTTTGTCTATTTCAATTGACACTCACTGGACTTCCTATTTCACTCTTTGACAAATTCTGTGTAATAGCGATTCCGCGTGATGCACTGTTGCTTTCCTCATCTAAACGGATCTTTGCTTTATCATGACTAGCCGACTTCTTCACTGTCATCATTATTACGTTCCTCCACACCTTTCTTCATTCGTCCTCAAAGAAAAGTGATATGTGTTCAAGCATTTACTTTGTTTCACTGATTGACTGTATTATTCCGAAATTCCCGATCACAATTGCCATGTGTGTGAGTCCACATGATGTCATTTCAATGACGGTAGCTTGCTGTTGAGCCCGAATTTCGAATTTTACTCCATTTGAGGCTTCAGCTGACGATTTCCAAGCAACATGAAAATTGGAGTCCTTGATTCCGTTGTTTGCTTCAATAAACAAAGTAAGGAAAATCATGTAGTGAAGAGGGCACTGCAGTGACAGATACTACTGAAGTATTTTTAATTTTCCAACCATCAGAATCATTGAAAATGATCAATTCTACTGCTTCAGGGTTCTGAACGATCTGGATCTCTAAAATGAAACACTAGTGTTTGTACATAAATACCAAAGAGGCCTGGATTACAAAGAATCAGTGGCCTGCCTTTGAGCAAATCTCTATTTAATTTCAATAATATTCTTTATATACCACTGATATTTGTTTCATTTAAAAGTAAATTACGCGCATTACAGGTGTTCTTTTGGTCTTTTGCATTACCTCCTGCATCTATATTTGCTGAGAAATGGAGTATGCTGTCATGCCTCGTTGCAATATTCACAGGTTTATCGTCGGTAGAAGGTGGATACAAATTCAAGACAATTAGTAGGAAGGCGGTGCTGGTTATTCTCGTTTCGGCAGCGGTGTCAATGTTGCTGGGTGTGATTCTATTTGCAGTGATTACATTATTAAATTCTCTTGTAAGTGTTATGTCGATTTAATTAGTGTTGTGCAAGTAATCTTCTAATGTATTTGTTACAAGTGGAATTCCGGTATCTTTAATGGCCAAAGTATGATATAGACAGGTCGTTAAAGAGAGAATGAACGTGAATTGCAAACTTAGCGTCATCATAATGAAATTTATCTGCTCACCTATGACTTCAGTCATCATTTTATTTAATTTACCAGGAAGCAATAGAAGAATAGTTGAAGTGTACTCCACGATCACTGTGATCAGTATTTACCGATTATTTATGGTCTTAGTGATGACCTATTTCAACTACATATTTTCACAATATAGTTGCTAGTCTGTGAAGCTGTTTGAAGAGAAAAAAACTTTGTATTGGTGCTAGGCTATTGACGGGAACTCGAAAGAAATGCCGATCAATTCCTGCTGGCCGTCCTTAAACATCTAAAAGCTGATATGGATAGTCAGATCAGTATTCGGTCCATATGGCCGGTAGTCAAACGTTGTACAAACATAGAATCCGATTTAAATAAATCTATGAAAACAGTGATTTGTGTAAAAAGTAAGTAACACCTAGGATGACTTCTTCACTTATTTTATGGAGAACTTTCAAAACGAGATGTGATATACTCAGGAAAACATATATATATACTCATCTTACGAGGAATAGAAAAGTAATGCCTTCTCCCAACTAGAGCGCTAATATCACGACCTTCTATTTTACTTTATTACCCGCAGGAAGTACTGAAATTTGTTTCCGGCGCGTTTTTTGTATTGGGTGGAATGCTAGTAAGTCATACAGTCGAAATTGAATATATATATATTCATGATGATTGTTACTCTTAATTGTGAATTTTTGCATTGAAAGTGAGTTGTTCATCACTTTATCCTCATCACAAGCGAAGGAAAATATTCGGCATATTTTTTATTACTATTGTTTAGATGCAGTGTGTAAAGTTGCATGATGTATATTCAAAGTGGACCTTCCTTCTTTCCCCTTGAAGGCGTGCTAGAATTTTCTGATAAGTATTTCTGATGCTGTTTGGAATTAACGCTTATAAAATATACGAATGGGATCACATAGGTTGGTGGTTCAATGGAATAATCTTCACCAAAGACGTACGTGGTCAGCGTTCGATTTTAAGCCGACGCACTCCGAGACCTTGTCTAGTTTTCTGGTTGAAAAGAGGGAAGATTGAACGTGAGGCAAGCACTTCTGTGAAAACAACGTAATAGTAACTGAAACTTCAGGACTCCAAGTTTGCCCTGTGTTTCACTTAAAGAAATATGAAAGTGAGAAGGTCTAGTTCGCTGCGTAGGGCACTAAAAGCTGTTAGTAGGGCAATTGGGATTTCGTTAAACCAACTGGTTAACACCATTGTGGATAGACATATAATGTCATGTAAGAAACTAGCAAATTCTATATTGTCAGACCCCGAACACTCTCTCTATACGCAGATCTCTCCTTGCATTTCATCTGGTAGAACTAGAAGCAACTATAGGAAGCTATATGCCAGGACTACCAAGTATAAAAACTCCACAATACCTTATCTGGCACAGCTGTTATGTGATGAGAAAACTGTTAGGCATGACACGATCACCTTACTGTGGCACTCTAACAAATAGTTCCCATTAGCTTTTGTTCTCCTTTCTTTGTTACTATTATATTGTTGCACATATATTCTTTTACACAGTAATTTTATATTTCATATCCTGTGGTGCATTGTTTAAATATGTGAATGCAATGCTGTTCTTTTTTTATTTCTTTTATTTCTCTTTTTTTCTTTTGTTGTTGTTGCTTTTTATTTTTAAATTCTTATAAAATTTATGAGGTATTTAGATGCAATATTGTAATGCACGCTGAAAATTCCATACCTGTACCACAAATACTGTTTGGAATAAAGCCATTATTGTTATTATTAGTATCAACAGATTTACTCGGGAAACACTGTGTCAGTTTTCCTTGCGTACGATTTGAATGGTTGAATGTTTCTGCAACATACCAGTTTCTGGGCATATTTTGTGACAATTAGCACACCAGTTGCTAAAAATCAGTGGTCTCCATATTTCAGACTGTTTGATAAGAATCTTTAAAGAGGAGTCACAATGTTGAAGAATATTCGGTGGGGTTGGGAGGAGGAGGGAAAGAGTTATTTATTGCACACCTTCATTTTCTAATGATAGCTATTCAACAAAACCGTATTAGCTCAATATTTGCAAATTGACAACTGAATAACTTCATAAGACTGCGTGTAATACATCCTTCAGGTAGCTGGTTCAATTCCCAATATCAGGTTGTAAATCTGAGTATTATGTTTTGTCCTTGGTGTAACTCACTAACTGACGCTTTGAACATAGAACCACTTACATATGTATCTCTCTCTATTTTACAGATTTCACTGTCGCTTGCAATGATACTTGTGGTACTTATATGCTCTTATGTGTGTTTTTGACTCCAACTATCACGTGAATTGACATTGCCTTGTTTCTCTTTTTGCTTTTTTATGTAACAGGTGTTGTTTCTAGTTGGAAAATTTTTAAAAGAATGCGATCCAAGTCAGTTGAGTGTTATGTTTCCAGTTTGGTTGGCTCTAATCACTTGGTTTGGAGTGATTTCAATATATCTCACTATATGCTTTGTCTTCACATTAACCTTACCGAAGATGGGACAGCATACCTCACGAATAACGTTTTCTTGGTAGGAAACAATAACGTTTTTGTGAATGAAGCACCTTTCTGTATGTGTCGATGACATTGCAGTTGCTGTTTTACTTCGCTGTTGTAAGAGTGAATATCATTCGAAATATATTTCTGAATCATATGTATCAAAATTAATCAATGTATATAAAAGGGATTCACTAAGTTGTCGTGTGACTAAATAGTATTCATTACACATTTAAATAACTTTATATATTAACAAGTGATGATAGCAGTCGTGTCTGGATAACCTGGTATCATTGTAATTCGCTGGATCTTACAAAATGCATGTAACCGAAGACTGTTACAACACACTGTGATTACACAGTTCAAAGGTGGGAACATTTCAAATGTGGGAACCATTGATGTTGCGTAATTGGAGACACTGTGTGAAGAAAGAACTGTAGATGTTATTGGGCTTGTTGGCATATGGAAAAATATGAAACGCATATTTCATAGTTGATTATTGAAGTTGGACATCAGATGAGCTTGCAAATATATTATAAAATAAACAGCACGACCTGCATAAGGTTAATAAGGTTTGATGATTCGAAGTTTTTGAAATCATATCGGTAGTAATAGGTTGATTAGATATCAAGTATTCAGGTCGAAATCATGGATAGAGACAAAGGAAATTTGGGGTACTCGTGAAAACCTTTGAGAAATCTTCGCTTTTTTGCATCAGATGACTGGATTTCAGAAAGTCTTTCCTTTAGAATATGCTCCTTTTATTGCTATATCATAACGAGTGGTAATGCAAGGTTAGTGGTTGTAGGGTATTTGTGATTCTAATAACGGTGATTTGAGAACGCTGATTAAATATTACTAGTTTATTCATGCAAACACCAGTTAAATTCAAGAAGGAGCTGAGAAATGGGCTTGCTAATGAAGTTAGTGAAATCATATATAGCTCTACAATGATTTTTCGAAAAGGGGAATCATCTGAAAATAATCACTCCCTGGAGAATACGTATATTCACTCTGACTAAGAAAAACAAATGAACCGATTAAGTAATGCTAGATTGTAAGGGAAGTAAATGAAACACGTTTTAATGAAGATGTGATAGGATTAAGTAAGGGGTGGTGGAGAAGTCTTCAGTTGGTTATGTCTTAATAGGCCAACGCGGGAGGGATAATGGCTGTCCGAACTTCTTTTGAATGTATAGTTTAGGTTTACTGGCTCGAATGCCTATTGCCTCAGCTGTGTGCAGTAAACGAATACGAAATCTATTGAAAAGATTCGGTGGGATACGATGAATTACTTTGAAGGCTCTCGTTTTCTCGATTACATGACCACTATCAATTAAGTGTGACAAAATTGAGCTACGGATTGTTTTTGTCTGTCCTTTGCCAAACCACGATGGGGGATGTTCAGTAAGACGTTGGCTAAGTTGTCTTGTACCCTCACAAAAGCAGGTGAGTTGATAAATGCTCATAGATGTGGCAAAACTATCAAGTTTATCCTTCGTTTGCTTCCCAATCATTCGTCGGCTAGAGAATGACAAACATAGGTTTGCTGAGTAAAACATTCTTGTTATAATCCTGGAAAGTCTGTAGAATAAAAAATCACTTGATAGAACCATTATTATTGTAACCATTATACTGTTATGACTAACTGCAAAATTTAAATGCACAATCTTATTAAGCTATAGACAAAACACCATGCTTGGTTTATATTTGAATTTTTATTTGTAAAGTTATGTATAATAGAGTTAAGCCTGATGAGATCTAATTGAAAACAATATTGATCGCTTAAATGTGTTGTTCTAAATCTTACTATGTGGATGTTTAACATTTCCAAATCTGGTGGGGATCCAATTACATTTAAGGCACTCAATGAGTACCTGAAGTTTAGTGAATGGTTCATTGAAGCGAAAACATTGTTGGGATTTTTTAAAGAATGTGTAAAAACCGAAGGTTATCAAATTCTAGATTGGAGGTTGTTAAGACGAATGCGCATTTATCATAATTCTAAGAGTTTAAAATAACATACCCTTAATCAGACTGACTCTGTTTAAAGTCTTATAAATGATCTCGAAAGGAACATACCACAGATACGATTTTCTGTTGATGATTTACCTAGGGAATGACAATTTATATTCTTGGAATACGTGAATAACGTAACAGTAAACAGAAGGAATAATACAGGATTACTCTCGTCAACTCTCCTGAAAGCCAAAAGCTTGAAAGGAAATTTCTGTCAGTTACGGGCCGGTATATTCACAATTTTTCCAGTGTCATGCTTAATAAGTTTTGACTGGAGGTGTTATCCCTAGGGCCTAAATTTAGTGAATATGATCCTAAAGTTGGCTAATTTGACATTCATTTTTATATAGTTTCAAAATTTGTATTCTCAAACATCAGATCTTTCCACATCATCGAACGATGAAATAACTAGGTTCAAAAGAATGCTAGTTGACAGCTGCCAACAATACGAAAATAATAGACATTCAGTGAATAATCTGTTATCTAAGCAGCACAGAGAAGCTCTAAGAGAACTTAGAAGCAACGAAAGCTTAATTATTAGCAAGCCAGATAAAGGTGACGGTATAGTATTACTGGATAAAAGCAATTACGTTGAAGAAAATGGAGGGTATTTTGAATGATCAAACTAAATTCCAATCTCTTGGTGGTTTCAAAGACCTCAATGTAAAAGCAGAGAAACTAATAACTGAATGTCTCAAAAAAATGAACCCAAAAAGGAATATTATCATCATGTATGAGTCTATGAAACCAACAGATGCGAACATTCCACGTTTTTATTGTTCACCCGAAGTGCGAAAACTGTGTGTTCCTCTTCGACCTATTTTCGCCATTTCACGGAACAGCGAAGTGGTTAGTGAAGATTATGGGACCTTTGCGCAGAGAAATTGTGCGGCATAGAATTAGTGATGTCTTCGACTGTATTTCTAAAATTTCCGAGACTAGTGTAAGGGATAAAGGCATGTTATCCATGGATGTATCATCACTGTTCACGAATGTACCACTTATCGAAACGGTAGGTTACATTTGCCAAGAAGGCACCGGAAGGCAATTTGACTTAGGAATTTCCTTGTATAGCCTCAAAAAATTACTTCTTAAATGCACAATGGATGTAAACTTTGTCATCAATAATTCATATTAATGACAGGTAGATGGAATAGCTATGGGTTCAGTATTAGCCCCAATATTAGCTGACTTCTTCCTCGCAAAACTTGAAAACGGGAGATTGAAGGACATTATCAAGGAGTTTGATTGGTTAATTTTTGGATTTTTCAAGTACTGGTTCATTTTAATAATAATAATTTACTTTATTCCAAAAACAGTACTTATAATACAGAATGGAATTCTCAGCATTTGTCAAAATATTGCATCTGATTTACTCAAAGTGTATATAAAATTAAAAATTAAAACAAAAATTAATCGGAGGAATTTGTCCACATTAACGACATAATTATAAGATATAATAATCATCATTGTGATGTAATTAAAGCACCATGGATTTTATCTTAATTTTAATCCCTCATACTCCCTTCTGCTTATCTATTTGAACATGATCTGGAAAACATTCTCACGGGTCGTGCTGCATGATTAATTCAATGTAGTTTATTTACCTATCAGTTTTATATCTTTTAATGTATTTTCAGTAGTATATATATCCCCGTATGTAGAGTATTCCGTTGAAGAGTTCTACCGAAATTTGATGAACTCATTAAATCCTGCTTTATTAAACTTTGTTGCTTGTTTTAACGAAAAACGTGAAACAGAAAGTGATATGCTTCATCACTATGCAATGCAGTTCACTAAATTTAATCAGCTTTATCATGTTTCAAATAAAAGACAATAGTAATAATGTGGTAAAATGTTTTGAAAGTTAGTAATAACGAGGATTATAATGATAATAAGGTTTATGCACGCGTCTATAAGAACAGCGAAAATATTAAGCAAAATGTGTATATGTAGACAATTCAATAAATAAATTAGCTCAAATGTTAAAAGTTACATAATATTAAAGATGAGGTGGACAGATAATCAGTCTAAACAAATATCATTAAAACTCGAATGAAGTGGAATATCAGAGAGGGTGGAGTGGGTTAATTACACTTTACCTAGTCCAAAGACTAGGATTGTTCTCTCTAATTACTTCCCATAGTTTCAGGTGTGTACGAAAGGTGAGTTCGAATTCCATTCGAAAGGCTCAATGGAATGCGATAGATAACTTTGAAGGCACTTCTTCTTTTCACTTGGTGATTGCTGTCAATCAAATGGATCAAAATAGAACTTCTTGTAGATTTTAATTGACCTTTTCCGAACCATGAAGGAGGATGCTCATTATTACGTTTGTTGAGCTGTCTAGTTGTTCGCCATATATAGCTCTCTCCACAGGGGCAACTAAATTTTTAGATACACAGAAGTGTCACAGCTAGGTAGCTTGTCTTTCGTTGGAGCAATCATAAATGGTCGGCTGGAAAATGAAAAACAAAGGGTGGCGTCACTATACGTCTGTTTTATTGCTCCTGATAATCTTAGATGTAAGACTTAACCAGTCACGCCCTCATTAAACTGCAATTTCAGGAACAGTTGTTTCTTTCTAACTGTTGCCAGTTTTTCTTTGTCAAGCCTGGTGTTTATGTGGTGTTCATTTCCTTACAAATCTACTAAGATAACCCATTTGGATGTATCCTAATTCATCTTCTAGGCAGTCATCAGTACAGATCCGTCTGGCTCTATTCGTGAGGCATGTGAATAAATTGATTTAGTATAGGATTGGTACAGATCTGAAGAAATGTGTATACCGTCCTACAGACGTAGGCCTTCTATAGACGTCTCTCTTGAGTGATCCATTCTCTCTTCTTGTCAACTGGACATCAAGGAAGTGTTGTCTACCATCATGTTCTTCTTCACAAGTGAGGATGAGCGATGGATGTGCATCATTAAATTTTATTTTATTTTATTATTTTTATTATTATTACCAGTAGGGTGCAGCAGGTCGGGCGTGAGGACAAATACTCGCCGAAGACATTGG